TAGTAACGATTATTTTAAAGTTACTTCTACATTTTTCAACAAAATTTTCAAAAAAGTCTTATTTTCCAAAATTTTTGATTTTTAAAAGTTTAATAACTCCGGTTAATATGGACGAAAAATGTCCAATTAGGGCTCAAAAGATGAGCCTAAATAAACTCTACAAAATTATGAAAAAACATTTATAGGTGTCCTAACATTTTTTTAAAGTTATGGGCAAAAAACGTTTTTTGCAAAATTAAAAATAAAAATAAAAAATTCAACCCAAAAGCTCTTCATGATTTCGAGATATTTATGAAAATGCGATGTTTACACACACACACACACACGAAATGACATTTTTCAAAAATGTCATTTTTGAACTCCTGAGGTCAAATAACATATAAAGATATGTCAAAAAATCGAACTCAAAAAATTTTGGTATTACAATACTTCCTCTATGAGGAAGTAAAAAGGTAAAAACCTAGAGGACACACGGGACGCATGATTATTCCCCAAATGTCATTTTTCCGAAATGTCATTTTACCGAACTGCATTTTTGCGAATAGTCATTTTTGCGAAATGTCACTGTTGCGAATTGTCATTTTTGCGAATTGTCATTTTTGCGAATGGCCATTTTTACGAATTGTCAATTTTCCGAAAAGTTATTTTTGCGAATCGCCATTTTTACGATTTGTCAATTTTTCGAAAACTTACTTTTGCGAATTGTCATTTTTACGAAAAGACATTTTTGTGAAATGTCATTTTTGCGAAAAGTCATTTTTACGAATTGCCATTTTTGCGAATTGTCATTTTTGAGAAATGTCATTTTTGCGAATTGTCACTTTAGCGAATCGCCATTTTTACGAATTGCCATTTTTGCGAATAGTCATTTTTTCGAAAAGTCATTTTTACGAATTGTCATTTTTGCGAATTGTCACTTTAGCGAATCGCCATTTTTACGAATTGCCATTTTTGAGAATAGTCATTTTTGCGAAAAGTCATTTTTACGAATTGTCATTTTTGCGAATTGTCATTTTTGCGAATCGACATTTTTACGAATTGTCAATTTTCCGAAAAGTCATTTTTGCGAATCGCCATTTTTACGAATTGTCAATTTTTCGAAAAGTCATTTTTACGAATTGTCATTTTTGCGAAAACTACAATAGTGAATTTATAGATACCTACAATTTTCTATTGTATTTTTCGCAAAAATGACTTTTCGGAAATTTGACAATTCGTAAAAATGTCGATTCGCAAAAATGACTTCGGAAAATTGACAATTCGTAAAAATGGCGATTCGCAAAAATGACAATTCGCAAAAATAACAATTTGTAAAAATAACTTTTCGCAAACATGACTATTCGCAAAAATGACAATTCGTAAAAATGGCAATTCGCAAAAATGACATTTCTCAAAAATGATAATTCGCAAAAATGTCAATTCGCAAAAATGACTAATCGTAAAAATGACATTTCAGAAAAATGGCTTTTCGCAAAAATGACATTTCACAAAAATGTCTTTTCGTAAAAATGACAATTCGCAAAAATGACTTTTCGGAAAATTGACAATTCGTAAAAGTGGCGATTCGCAAAAATGACTTTTCGGAAAATTGACAATTCGTAAGAATGGCGATTCGCAAAAATGACAATTCGCAAAAATAGCTTTTCGAAAAAATGACAATTCGCAAAAGTGATATTTCGCAAAAATGAGTGTTCGCAAAAGTGCAGTTCAGTAAAATGACATTTCGGAAAAATGACATTTGGGGAATAATCATGCGCCCCGGACACACTCCCATACCTCTCCTAGCGGTATTAATGCTACGGGGTAGAGAAAGGAACCAATTTATTTTTGGTGGTCTTTTTCGGTTTTAGCTCCCTCCCTAGGGGTTTCAAGACCTAGCCGTTGGTGGGAGGCGCACGAGGGGCTTTTACCCAGTGGGAGGCTACTTCTCGATATCTCTCGTGGGGACTGAGGGGGCGAACCCTTCAAAATGGGTCGGCCGCTACAGAAACCGAATCTTCTGTGTTTCGCTGGGCAGTGTCCCAGGGCACGGGGATTTAGAGGGATATCGAGAGAGACGGGATGGACAGAGGCTTAACCGCGGGTCCATTTCGAAGACTTCCTACTGGTGGAAGTCTGACCAAGAAAAAACCCTTCCATGGTTACGTTGGCCGTGCCATGGCGATTGAGGCGCGAGTCTCTGCCACCCAATCCGTGATGAACTCGTGTCCATGGATGAATGATACTAGGGTTAACAAATCCGTCGGGTTCTTCCGTGGGGAGGGGGTTGGACGGGGGACGACCTTCGCTAGGCACAATTAACCGTAAAGCTCGGGAACGGTTGTGTTACAGGAAGGGCCCGTCTTCTAAACGACCCGTCCTCGGGGTGGGGCTCGAATGGAGGTATCTTGAACGAGACTCTGAGATACCAGGCGAACTTTCAGATGTAATTTAGCCTTGTCCTTAAATAGAGGCTCTTTAAATATCGACCTTTCTTTCCTCTTTTCTCGTGGGACCATAATGGATACTACAGAAATTAATAGAAATAAAACCACACACGTGAGCGTCGAAGAGCCCTTTTGGGGGATCACGATGCTGGCGATCAAGGTGTGGACGCGACAGAGGGGACCGTGAGTCAGTCTTAAATATGGCTGCTTCCGGGATCCACTGTATGCAGATTAACTTGCATCATTGTAAGGGCGCTTCGGCGATTCTAGCCAAGAACTTTGCAAGGATGCAGGCAGCTATAGCCTTTGTTCAAGAACCTTGGGTTTACAAGGGTAAGATTAGAGGTCTAAGTGGCGGTGGGGTGCTAGTTAGTTCACCACAGGAACCAGTTCCAAGGGCTTGTCTGATCTATAAAGGTGTAGATGCTTTCCCTCTATTGGAATTAACTACCAGGGACTTAGTTGTTGTTAAGGCTAAGTACCTAGAAAAGAACGGAAATAAAAGGGAGGTTGTAGTAGCTTCCGCATATTTTCCGGGATCGGGGGATGACCCCGCACCACCTGTAGAGGTGGAGAAGTTGGTAGATTACTGTCAACGGCAAGGTCTCCCATTAATAATAGGTTGTGATGCCAATGCGCACCATGTCGTATGGGGCAGCACTGACATTAACGATAGAGGCAGAAGACTTTTAGATTTTCTGTTAGATACAGATTTAGATATTTTAAATCAGGGTAATGAGCCGACTTTTGTTACTGTTAACAGAAAAGAGGTGTTGGATATTACGATCTGTTCCAAGTCTTTTTGTGATGGCGTGAGGGACTGGAGGGTGTCTGATAAAGATTCCCTCTCGGACCACAGGCTTATTACGTTTAGATTGGAATCGAAGGATCGGGAACAGGAGTGGGGACGTAATCCTAGGAGTACCGACTGGGCTTCATATAGTGAAGACCTCAAGGCCTCCACGGCATGCTTCCCCACTTCCTATGGAACGATGGAGGAGTTAGAGCTTGCAGCGGAATATCTGCGAGATTCTATTATCTGTTCCTTTAAAAGGAACTGTGTAGTTAAGAAAATGGGCTTCAATGGGTGCGGTAAATGGTGGACCCCCCGTTTGGAGGAACATAGGAAAAATGTAAGAAAGCTTTTTAATAAAGCCAAGAAACGTAGGCATCAGCGAGCATGGGATGAATATCATACCGCTCGCGATTCTTATAAGAAAGAAGTAGATAGGGCAAGGGGTGTCAGCTGGAGAAGTTTTTGCGAGGGAATCGAGAGGGTACTGGAAGCTTCAAGACTTCATAAAGTACTAGCTCGAGACCCAATGGCAAAATTAACTACTATTAAGCTGCCTAATGGGCAGTATGCCCAGGATAAAAGGGAGTGTCTAAAGCACCTGATGGAAGTAAACTTCCCGGACTTTAGAGAAGGTTTGGAGAACAGCCAGGGCATAGGACCAGGTAGGAACCGAGGATATCGGGAACACTGGAAACTAGCAGCCAGGGTTGTAACTCCGGAAGGGATTGATTGGGCAATAAGCACTTTCAAACCATTTAAGGCTTCAGGAGGGACGGTATATATCCGGTTCTTTTGCAAAAGGGATTGGATTGTATTAGAGTACTCCTGTGTAAAATTATGAGAGCATGTATAGCTCTTGGTTACACACCGGAGTCTTGGAAAAAGACGAGGGTTGTGTTTATTCCGAAGGCCGGTCGGTCAGGCTATACTGCGGCGAAGGACTTCAGGCCAATCAGCCTAACTTCCTTTATATTAAAGACATTAGAGAAACTGGTGGATAAGTTTATTAGACAGGAATGTCTTAGAGATTTTCCCCCTACATCAGGGACAGCATGCATATAGAGCAGGCTTCTCAGTAGAAACAGCCCTCCATTCGGCAGTAGGTAGAATATGTAGAGGGACAAATTAGCAGTGGTGGTTATGCGGTTGGTACCTTTCTTGATATCGAAGGTGCCTTCCCTAACACCTCTAGCAAAACTATCTGCAGGGCAGCCAGGATGCGAGGCGTGCCCGAGCCGCTAGTTAAGTGGATCGACAGCATGCTTCGCGAAAGGGCCCTGGAGGCAGAGTATGGTGAGGCCAAGGTAACCGGCCTTGTCTCAAAAGGGTGCCCACAGGGAGGAGTTCTCTCTCCTTTATTGTGGTGCTTAGTGGCAGATGAGTTAATTAGAAACCTCAATAGCCAGGGATATTATACGCAAAGTTATGCGGATGATTTCCTTATAATTATAAGAGGGCACTCAATGGAGACCCTCTTAGAACTTACGAAACGTGCGCTTAAGATTGTCAAGGATTGGTGCAATCTGACTGGACTTTCTGTAAACCCAGAGAAAACGAATATAGTAGTTTTCACAAGAAAATATAAGGTACCGAGTTTGAAGAAACCGATATTTTATGGAAAAGAGATTTCCTTTTCTGAATCGGCTAAGTATCTGGGAGTAATCCTGGATAAAAAGCTGGTTTGGAGGGAACATTTCGAATATCAGTATAGCAGGTTTTGTACCGCGTTTTGGGCGTGTAGAAGGGCGATAGGGTCATCATGGGGACTAAGGCCTAATATGGTCAACTGGCTCTATCAGATGATCTTAAAACCAAGGTTTCTTCACGCGGTGGTTGTCTGGTGGTCTAGGACTCAACTGATAACGGTTAAAGAGAAACTAGGCCAACTGCAAGCAATGATTTTCAGGGGTATTACGGGGGCAATGAGGACCACGCCAACAGCTGCGTTGGGATTCATGCTTGCCGAGGTACCTCTGCATATTGCCGCGGTGAAAAAGGCGGCTCTTACTATGAGCAGGTTAACTGCGCAGGGAAGGTGGAAGGTTGGTGGTATACACACCAAGCTTCCACGCTCAATTCTATCAATACCAGAATTAAGTATGGTGCAAGATAGAATGATCAAGAGGGTGAAATTTAAACCCCGCTTTAAGATCATTATACCTTCCAGAATGGACTGGAAGAAAGGTTTTCCACTTGGGGACGAAGTCTGGTATACAGACGGCTCCAAGATGGGACTGCGGTGCAGGCTTCGGAATTTATCGGAAAACTGGCTGCATTAAAGTGGCTGAGTCTTTAGGACAACATGCCACGGTCTGGCAGGCGGAGGTCTGTACGATTTTAACTTGCGCCCAAATATCCATTCGAAATGGAACAAAGGGCAAGAGGATTAGTATTTGTGTGGATAGTCAAGCGGCCTTAGGGGCTCTGAAAAATCCCACAATAGAATCAAAACTCGTCTGGGAATGCCGCAGCGTACTAGATGAGTTGAGTTCAGCAAATAGACTTTCATTGATTTGGGTACCGGGTCACTCGGGAATCAAGGGTAATGAAAGAGTAGACGTCTTGGCGAAAACCGGTTCCGAGACGAAATTTATAGGTCCTGAACCAGCAGTGGCAATAATGCCATGCTTGGTTAAGGGAGCTATAGAAAGATGGGGTGAAAAGGAACATGAGAAGTATTGGGCGAACGTTGGGGTGGGAAGGCAAGCGAAAACTCTGTTGGGGTTAGCACTCAACAAGAAGCGAGCGAGCGATCTCCTAAAACTCGATAAGATCAGAGTTAGAACCGTAGTTCGTCTACTTACGGGTCATGGACTATTGAACTACAGTACCGTCCGAAATTGTCAGTCCACCCATTTTCAAAGGAATGACAAAAATTTTTTAACATAAAATTCATGAAAAGTAAAATTTTTTTTGGTTTATATTTTGAAAGACGATAAAATTTTGAAAAGAATAAGACCTTACAGAACTCATTTGGCCAAAATTTGTAGAAGATATTATTAAAAATCGTCATTTTCAATGTTTTACAAAAATTTGAATAACTTCTTAAATAATGAACGCTTTTTAATAATCTTAGGCTTATTTTAAAGACCATTGTCTACAGAATAAGAATTACTTATAGGCATTAACCTGTAATTTTTAACTTGGAATAAGCATGACGTCAAAGTTGGACAAAAAAATTCAAAAAATTTGAAATAATATTATTAAAAGAAAAATAATTTTTGAAACTCAAACATATATTTTTATTAAATTTTCTTGAAAAATCTACACCATATCATGTTTTATATATATGTTCTAGAATAGTTTTTAGTACAAAAAATTGATTTCAAATTTTTCCAATTTTTTTGTCTAATTTTGACGTCATGCTTATTCCAAGTTAAAAATGACAGGTTAATGCCTATAAGTAATTCTTATTCCGTAGAAAAAGACCTTTAAAATAAGCCTAAGATTATTAAAAAGCGTTCATTATTTTAGAAGTTATTTAAATTTTTGAAAAACATTAAAAATGACGATTTTTAGGAATATCTTCTACAAATTTTGGCCAAATGACTTCTGTAAGGTCTTATTCTTTTCAAAATTTTATCGTCTTTCAAAATATAAACTAAAAAAAAATTTAGTTTTCATGAATTTTATATTAAAAAATTTTTGTCATTCCTTTAAAAATGGGTGGACTGACAATTGCGGACGGTACTGTACCATCAGCATAAAATAGGCAGACAAGTTTCACCTATGTGCAGACTGTGTGGGGAAAGTAACAAAACTTCGACTCACATATTATCTGAATGCCCAGCGTTAGCTAGGATCAGGCTATCTAGCTGGGGTCAAGCAATTATTGACCCTAAGCAGGTGAGCAACCTATCGAAAGAAGAGATACTGGACTTCTGGAGAAGAACAGGACTCTAAGAAGTTGCTATAAACGAGCGAACTGGAGTCTGGTACAATGGGTTCTATAACCTAGGTGCTTACTTTCCCCTCTTGAGGAATATCCAGCTCGATCTCGGTGTTAGATTAGATTAGATTCGGTTTTAGCGACCTAAACAACAGTAATACACACCTTACTCGACTTTTTTTGAAAACTGAAATGCCAACACTCTCATCCCCGTGAGTAGAGGGCGAGTCCAATTTTGGTGGTCTTTTCCGATTTCAGCACCTTAACCCTTTAACGCCGGGACGGGCGCTTTTTTTAATCATTTTCAACTTTAACTATTTTTGTTATTAGGCATGTAAAAAATTTTTGGAATAACATTTTCTTACGTATTTTTTATCGCTCTTTCAGAATCTGTCACCAAAATTGCAAGAAACAAAAATTCCAAAAAGTTATAGCCACTTATTTGGAAAAATGCAAATTTTTGCCGTTTTTGATTCAAAAATAATTTTTTTTCATATAACCAATAACCAGAAAAATTCTTCATCATAAAATGTCGCGTCCACAATACCCAAGCTTCAAAGTGATGGACCATAGAATTAAAAATTTCAAGATGGCGGATCCAAAATGGTGACAAAAGAATTTTTTTCACAAAATTGACACCCTGTGGTCGCTTTTTTTAATTCTCCTTTTATCTATATAAAAAGGAGTACCTGAATGTTTTTTGGGTCACTGATTACGAATATGAATTTACATATCAAAAATTCAAAATGGCGGATCCAATATGGCGGTCGATATTTTTAAAAATTGATCGGATTTATTTAAAAATTTCTACTCGGGGGTTTTTGGGTTGCTGAAGACCAATATGAAGTCAAACTTCAAACGTTCAAAATACCGAATCAAATATGGCGGTCAAAATTTCAGAGAATGATTAGATTGGTTTAAAATTTTATACGTTCTTTAGCTATTGAAAATATTTTTATGTTGTTCGACTCAAACCACGAGAAGGAAATGTATTGTGAGTAATCTTCTTTTCTTAGTATTTTTTTGTATTAACAATAAATTTAATATTTAGATAAATGCGTTGTCTTTCTTTTGGTTTTTGCAGTGGGATGTCATTTATTTTACAGCAACATTAAATTTCATTTCCTTTTGAAACTATATAATTTCTTACTTAATTCATTTCGCTGAATGCATTGTCTATCAATGCACGAGGAGGTACGTTTAACTCTTCGTGGTTTGAGTAGAACAACATAAAAATAATTTCAATGACTAAAAAACATAAAAATTTAAACCATTCTAATCATTTTCTAAAATTAAGACCGCCATTTAAGATTCGGTATTTTGAACGTTTGTAATTTTACTTTATATTCGTTTTCAGCGACCCTAAAAACCCCCGAGTAAAAAGTTCCATGAAAATCCGTTAAGTTTTGAAAAAATTAACCGCCATATTGGATCCACAATTTTGAATTTTTAAAATCTGACTTTAGATCCGTAATTAGCGACCCCAAAAACCCCCGAGTAGCAATTTTCAAATAAAACCGATTAATATTCATATTCGTTATCAGCGACTCAAAAAACATTCAGGTACTCCTTTTTATATAGATAAAAGGAGAATTTAAAAAAGCGTCCACAGGGTGTCAATTTTGGATCCGCCATCTTAAAATTTTTAAATGTATAGTCCATCACTTTGAAGCTTGGGTATTGTGGACGCGATATTTTATGGTGAAGAATTTTTATGGTTACTGGTTGTATGAAAAAAAAATCATTTTTGAATGTCAGTTCGTCCCGGCGTTAAAGGGTTAAAATTATAGGGATGTGGGGATGTGTCTTTTGGGTTTTGACCTTTGATTTTTTGGGTGTGCCTGTGTTATATTAACTGTGAAGTGTTGTTTCATTTGGATTATCAAGGGATTAATATTGATCATTGAGATTTGTCGATGAAGCCGTTTCAGCGTTGGAAAGTCCATATTAGTCGCATGTCTTAGCAAGTGCCTCCCGATGGGATTAGTGCTAATATTTAAATAATTGGAATGTGAAGTTTAAACCGATAGATGCAAATTATTAAATTAATTAAAAATCGGGTTACTCAGTAAAAGTAAAATTTTAAAGTGACGGGCTCTTAAATATTCTCTAATAGTTATGATTACTTAAGTTTTGAATTACGCAGAGGCGCAGGAAGAAAGTTAAATACGATTATGAATGAAGTAATCTTTTAGGAAGCTAAATGCAATTAGGAAACTAGCATGCAATATAATTTTCCTGCTTTCTTACATGTTACATGGGTTTCTCAGATCTTAAATCACTTTCTTGGGAATTGAAAAAGGAGAACATATTCTTGGAAATCTTTGACTTAAACTTGGATGTCAAAGTTGTTGTGAAATTGCCATAGAAATTCAATAAAAATTCTTATCAACTTTAACTCTTAAGAGTATGGTTCACAAGTTTTAGCCATTAACTATAAAGCTGTGCCATATTTCTATTTTATGCATCCATTAAAGAATATTAAAATGTTGACACGTGCTTATAATAATTTATGCAAAAGCAATTTATAATTTTCTTCCTGTGTAACCGCAAATTCAATATAAAAAGATAAATTTACTTCGTATTTTATTAAATTTTATCAATATATAGAAAGACTTACCATTAGCAAGTTTTGTCTCCATTTGCCTCAGACTGCCAATATGTTGGCTTATATAGTAGCCCATTTTTGTCAATTCAGCTTTTCTTTTTGATGATTTTTCCTCTTGTTTTCTAAGTCTATCCTTAAAACATTCTACAAATTAAAAAGAACATATATGATAAATCAAAGATTTGTAAATGAGAACTAGTTCAAATGTAAGAATGTAATACATTTTGACAGTTAGACAACCATAAAAAAATATCAACTTCTATAAAATTAAATTCTTTAAGAAGTTTCTAATTAATTATCATAAAAATAACGGGTTCATGGAGAAGTTATTATTTTATATTTTTACTTGCAAAAATTTAAATTTGTTGTTAAAATGTTAATAAATATATGTTAAAAATTTTGAAGTTCTAAGTTTTCATGGCTTTTAAAAAGAAAATTTTAAAAAAATCTGAAAAAACGTTCGTTACAGGTCGTCCGAATAGTTACTCCTATTAAAAGGTACCTTTTTGAAGACGCCACCTATAGCTGCGATACGTTACTAAATTTACTTTAAAAAGTTTTTAAAATTCTTTCCATGAATTCCATGAATTTCCATGTATAACAATGTCCAAAAAGAATTTTGGGAAAAACTGTAGTACTTTTTTCACAATAAAAGTTTTAAAAAATGTGTTTTTATCAATTCTCAACCAGAAAGTCTTCTTTAATGTTAAATTGCTATTTTAGCAATTGAACCGCCGGATCGTAGAAGGGCATACGTCTGAAACTCAACGGTTCGAGTAGGTGCTTGACATGAAATTTCTTTTTTTAATTTTGAATTTTTAAATATATATTCTTGTAGAAAATGAGATTACGCAACTTTTTCCCTAATAAACTTTTTTCTTAAAATGAATTGCTTTCAAAATAATATTAAAATACCGTATTTTTTCTTAATGTAAAATTTCAATCACTTTTAAGTTTAACTCGTCATAAATCCTAAGTTTTTTTTGACATTTTTACTTCATATTTGGAGGATTTACTCATCAAAGTCTCTATAAAATATTGGTTAAACAATAAATCAAAATCAATTACATTATTCTTTTTCAAAATTTAAAATAGAAAAATACTATAATAAATATTTCGTACTTGTAATTACAAAATTCTCTCACAAACAGAAATAACAAACAGTTTTTTACGAAAATTAATATACTGATTGATAATGGTTTAAAGAAGATGTTGTTAAATTTTTAGAGGTCTAGGTTGATTGTGATAAAAGATATAAATAATTTTCTTTTTTCACATTTAACAATGTGTCTTATGGAGAACTACATTTTCTTGGTCTTCAAGGTCAAATTGTGAGAAATTTGACAAACAGATATTACTTAAACTGTTTATGCTTAAAGTTAATTAACTAATACTCACTTATTTACAACAAAATTAATCAGACCTTACCTAAAAGACTCAAAATTAATTATTTTGTTTAAAAAACACCACATTTTGACAATCAGAAGTTACACAGCATAACATTTTGGCAATGTTGCTTCTGGAAAGTTAGGTATAAAAAAGCGCATTTGAAAGTATAGGAATTAAAGTAAAAGTATAAATCCAACGTTGTCAAGCGTTGCGCTAGTACTACGTGGTTCAAATGAAAACTGAAATGGGCATTGCTTTGACTATCAATGTAGAGAGAGAACCTCCTTAAACTACTAGATAATGAAAAAACTACAATAAAACAATTTAGTTAATGAAAACAAATAATAAAAAACAAAACAAAAAAATTAAAATCTGTAAACGTAACACTAAACTTAATAATAATGATTATTTTCAAGAGTGAATAACGTTTCAAGTAATATTATAAATTTAAAATGAAAAAAATTAAATTCAGTGAACCAGAAAAAATTAATTCTTAAAAAATCTTGATATAATTATGTTAGATGATTATTCCTGAAATCTTATTTGACATAATAGTCATTTGACATAAAACCATTTACCATAAATTTCATTTGACAAAAAATCTATTTGGTATAAAAAACATTTAATTTGACATTTATTTGACATACATTTCATTAAACATACAATTTATATTGCATAAATGGCATTTAAGAGCGTTCGATGGTCTGTGAAATTTGTAGGTTATGTGCGACCTACACTTGTCGCCCTACAAGAACGGCACTGCCTGGTTTAAATGACGTGAAATTGGTAAACAATCATTTTCGAACGAGTTTTTCTCTGCACACAAGCACTTTTTGCAAAATCTAAATCCGAACCATCGACACAAATCTTCTTAATTACCTAAATCCAAAATATTTTTTTAATCCATGCAGAAACGCGGTTGCTAAATGGTAAATGCAAAAGCAACAAAAGTAATGTAATGACAGGCGGCAAGACATTTGATACAACCATTTGCCATTAGAGGGCAGAAGCATGCAGGGAGCGTAAAGTCTCAGCTGTCAAAATGATTCGCATTACATTACTCTGGCCTTTACCATTTTGCAACCGCGTTTCTGCATGGATTAAAAAAATATTTTGGATTTAGGTAATTAAGAAGATTTGTGTCGATGGTTCGGATTTAGATTTTGCAAAAAGTGCTTGTGTGCAGAGAAAAACTCGTTCGAAAATGATTGTTTACCAATTTTACGTCATTTAAACCAAGCAGTGCCGTATTTCTAGGGTGATAACTATTTGTCGAACATAATCTAGAAATTTCAGAGACCATTGAACACCGTTAATATGATATCCATTTGATATATATTTCATTAGACATAAAATTTATATAACATATATGTCATTTGACATAGAATTAATTCAACATATATTCTATTTGACATAAAAATCATTTAGCATAATTTCCAATACACATTTAATAAATGTTATTTTGTCCTAAAATTCATTTGTCATATTTGACATAAATTTCTCTTGACATAAATTTCATTTGATATAAATGTCATTTAATGTAGTTCTCATTTAACATAAATTTCATTTTAGATGAAGTTCATTTGACATAAAAGACATTTAACATAATTCTCATTTGTCATGAAAGTCTTTTGACATAAATTAGATTTGACATAACAGTCATTCAACAAAATTCTCATTTGACATAAAAATCATTTTATACAAAAAATTACATTTTACATAAAAATATCGGCGCGAATTTTAAAAGTAACCAATTAGATACTATCAACAACATTGTGATTCGACAATTTTGAAATTCGTGCCTATATTTTCATGTCAAATGATCTTTATGTAAAATGAAATCTATAACAACTGAATTTTATGTCAAATGAGAATTATGTGTAATGACTTATCCGTCAAATGAAATTTATATCAAGTGAACTTTATGTCAATAGGGGCCGTACACATAATACGTCACGCGGCTAGGGGGAGGGAGGGGGTCTGAGAATTGTGACTAAGCGTGACA